ATGATGCTTCCAGTAGCCGGGAGGGTGAGATGCAGGAGGAGGGAGGAGGGGAGTGTATGTTAATGCTGCGTATGATGCTTCCAGTAGCCGGGAGGGTGAGATGCAGGAGGAGGGAGGAGGGGAGTGTATGTTAATGCTGCGTATGATGCTAGCGGTAGCCGGGAGGGTGGGATGCAGGAGGAGGGAGGAGGGGAGTGTATGTTAATGCTGTGTATGATGCTAGCGGTAGCCGGGAGGGTGAGATGCAGGAGGAGGGAGGAGGGGAGTGTATGTTAATGCTGTGTGTGATGCTAGCGGTAGCCGGGAGGGTGGGATGCAGGAGGAGGGAGGAGGGGAGTGTATGTTAATGCTGCGTATGATGCTTCCAGTAGCCGGGAGGGTGGGATGCAGGAGGAGGGAGGAGGGGAGTGTATGTTAATGCTGTGTGTGATGCGAGCGGTAGCCGGGAGGGTGGGATGCAGGAGGAGGGAGGAGGGGAGTGTATGTTAATGCTGTGTGTGATGCGAGCGGTAGCCGGGAGGATGAGATGCAGGAGGAGGGAGGAGGGGAGTGTATGTTAATGCTGTGTGTGATGCGTATTGAGGGTCGGAACCTATAGCTGAACCACGCTGCTTTCACTCTCTCTCTCTCTCTCTCTAATTCCGTCGTGTACAGCTACCTCTGTGTGCGTGCACTCGAGCTACAATGCAGACGACATATTTCCCCCATGTCACGTACGCCGGCTGTATAGAAGGGAGAAGAAGTTAGATACGTGGGAAGGGAGAGAGAGAGTCTGTGTCTATGCGTGATCGTGCTGCGCGCAGCTGTGGGGGAAATGAATGCACGACGACAATGTAGTGGCAGACGAGAATTGTGCGGTTAGATACGGATCTCGCTCGATAGCTACCGCTAGGGGAGCAGTCATAGAGAGACGCGCTGGCTAAAAGCCTTCCATTGGCCTGGATTAGGATCTTTAACAGCTTCACTAATCTCCTGGATTATAGGTCACAGCGAGTCCTGACTCCTGCCAGTCGGCAATTTTAGAACCATTGTGGGGCAGCGCCGCTCCCAAGTGCTCCTGGTGCCTTCTTAAATAGAAGCACAAGGCTTTAGGGTGGGGGAGCGGGTGAGAGGGACTAGTGGCACACATTGTATAGTTACATCTAACATGAAGTCGGGCGCGGATGGGCACAGTCTCGTTCTTAAACGGTGACACCAATAGCGTTAGAGAAATGACAAACATGTGTGGGATACGTGCCGCATTGGCGTTGGCAATATATATTAGCAGCGGTATATATACGTGTATATATACACATCTGTTCATCTATACGGCTGGCACTGACCGCGCACGCGTGAACGCGAGAAAACAGGAAATTGAGTAAAACTCCGGCCGCGATAGCCTTTGTTGAGTTTGCATCGGGTTCTGTTATTCCTGCTCCGCAGTTCGCCGCAATAAATCTCGCGCTAGAAAAATCTAATTGGCGCCTGGCTTCCGCGCGCGTGCTCCTCCAGGAGTCTCATCTCTCGCGATATACAAACAAATTCCACACCGAGCTGTGTGTGTGTGTGTGTGCGTGTGCGTGCGTGCGTGAGTGCGTGCGTGAGTGCGTGTGTGCGTGTGTGTGTTGTGTGTGCTGCGTGAGGGCGTGGCGTGCGGAGGTGTGTGTGGTGGTGTGTGTAGTGTGGTGTGTGTCGTGTGTCGTGTGTGTGTGTGTGTGTGTGTGTTGTGGTGTGCGTGTGCGTGTGTAATCGAGATATTATGTGCCTGTGTGTGTGTGCGTGCGTGCGTGCGTGCGTGCGTGCGTGCGTGCGTGCGTAGTGTGTGTGGTCCGTAGGGGCGCACCCTGTTAATAGTAGAAATTAAACAGTAAATAAAATAATATAAAGAGCAGTGGATTCCCGCCTTTGTCGACAGATCGGGATTATGACCGAATGTCCCGATTAAGCGGTGAACGCAAAAGAACCCGCATAAGAATTATTTATTCAAAGACATGTGATGTCATTTAACAATGTACCCGTTTATATGAGGCTCTATAAAGCAGGTAACTGCATTGTTTAGAATGACGGACAGTACCACAGGCCAGGCCATAGTGTAAGAATACTATGAGAGAGTGGAGTGAAGCTATAGTAGCAAGTCAGACAACGTCGTACACTTAACTTCACACACGCCACACACACATACAGCACGCGCGCCACAACACACACACATCACACACAACACGCGTCGCACACACAGTCACGCACTACGCACACGCACACGCAACGCGAGCACGCGCGCCGCGACACACACACACACACACACAAACACACACGAGCCAGCTGCGGATCTGACACATCTGGTAAAACATTGCCGCCTCGTGATATTAAAAAGCGATGATTAAAACGCGAAGACGTGCTTCTTACATGAGCTCGATTGCTCCAGCAGCAGACACACTAACGTGTCAATGATGAAGACTGCGTGTTGCTACCCTGCGTTACTATACGCTATTCATCAACGGGCCTCAGCAGCCTGACGACCCTCGCTAGTAAGTTATCACGCGTGCATTCGGCTACTGTCCCGTTGCACTGCTGGAGGGAGAGGTCGTGTTTAACAGGCTAGTAAAGTTCTCAGCGCAAGTGACCTGTCGCTACTGTCACGTGAACTGCGGAGGTAGAGGTCGTGTT